AACGTGTCTAATAAAAAGCTATTAGAGAAGCTTATATAGAGATTTCTTTAGACACAAGTCGTCTAAGAAAAGGAATATGTTTTAAGCTAATTTTCCTAATTTTAAGATAAACATAAGAAAAGTAAAACTTAATAAAAAAAGGAAACTTCAGCACCAAGGAACTAAGTTGCCGCCATTGAAGGAGATGCTCCTGCATCAAAGTCTCATATGATCTAAGTCCTACTTTTCATTTTTAGTGTTCTACGTGTCAGTTTGATTTACACTAAATCTACAGATAAGGCTGAATCATGAGACTGAGTTTGTGACTGGTATAAGCGGGGAGATGACCGGTGGCTCTATTACTTCTCTGACGTTTCATACAAACCTTAGAGCATACGAAGCATTTCACTTGAAAATCAATAGAGGGGAAAAAGCTAGACCGTCGGAGAAAATAGAGTTTCATTCAGGAATACTTGATCGCAGTGAATTTGAAAGCTTCTTTGGATTTGCTGATGAAGATCACTTGCTCACAATTAATTTCTATGTGAGGCATATCTTCTCTGATGTTAAGACTATTAAAATGGAAAACGAATAAAGTTTTCCTAGTACTCTAATTGAGCCTGAACTCATTTGTCTCGACCAATAATTTCATTTCTTTGTTAGTTATTATGTATTGTGGTTTCAAGAGTTTAATAAGAGCTGAAATAAAGAGAATTTCCAGAGAGTTCATTGCTAATCACACTCTAATCTTCCTAGAGAAGACAGTGTATAAGTTAATAGCCTAGTGAGGAAGAAAAGTTAAAGGTCTAAACGCTATGTAATCTCCTGGATCTATCAAATAGATCAACGGGCACACAATGCGCGCTTCACTTGACATTAACGAGAAGAAAGAGTTTCTTTCAGAAAACTCTGTAAATTTGGATCTTGTTGCTATTCTAAGTTGACCTCTATTGGTCTCTCTAGGCCTGGTGTTTTTATCCGAAGCCGAAATACCTACCTAAATCCAAACCCGAAAAAACGAAATTGAATCCGAACTTTATACAGAAATATCCGAACAAGACTTATGAGTTTAGTACTTTGGAGTTTGGTTATAATCCGAGCAGAACCGAAATCCAAACTAGGATCCAAAGATATTCGAAATTAGCTAAATATGTTAATATTTTTTATATACAGTAAGGTAATTTAGATATTTTAGAGTATTCAAAAAATATTTTGTAGTTTATTTTAAATGTTATTTTGATATTTTTAATTAATTTAGATAGTTTAACTAATTTTTAATTAGATTTATAAATAACTTATATTTTTTGAAAAAAATAAATTTGTCAATTTTTAAGATTTAAAAAATAAAAATTTGGACGATTTTAAACAATGGTTACATCCGATTTAAACCGAACCGTTAAGGAACCGAATCGAATCCAACTGAATCTGACCTGATAATTAGTAAAATCCGAATGGGACTTCTGAGCTTAACATCGAAAATCCGAATCACCCGGACCAATACCGAACGCCCAGGCCTAGGTCTCTCTATGTAAGGCAATTAAAACTCTAAATGATGTCATTCTCTTACATGTGCTGATCTTTCTGGATTAGTCTGATCCTCCCAAAGTCACTCAGCCTTAAACTAAAGTCTCTATCCCTAATGATGCTGAACTGATTTCAAAAAGATCAACAATATATGAAAATAACAGAACCAGAAAGCTATCTCTCTTGGATTAGATTGTTGCAGAGCTCCTCAGTCTGATATTGAAAAAGCCTTCTTCATCTTTGACACGAGACCAGGCAACGTCTTCACGGCATCATCAACAGTCTGGTTCACGCACTGCTCCAAACCAACTACTGCTTCATTCCTCTTCTTCTGCAGCTTCGCAGCCTCAAACTTATCTTGACAAACCACAAGAGACCTATTCAACCTCTCCTACATTCATCAGTTACAAGAAAAAAAGACACAAAGTTGAATCAGTTAGTGATCAAACTAAGTGATTATCCACAAAGAGACAAACAACCAACAATATCTTCACTGAAAGTTTCAGAGTTCAATCAACTAATCCTTTTGAACTAATTAGAATGAACATAAGAGACTCACTTGGAACACAGACATCTCATTCTCAAAATGATTCTGCGCATTAGTAATAGGAACACTGCAAGTCTCTGCGCATTGGCTAATCTCAGCGTGTGTTCTCGTCCTATCAAAGCACTCGTACGCACATTTGAAGTAAGCTTTCTGCACCAATCCCAAAAAAAACATACTCTTTACATAACCTCAGAACTAACAAATTAAACACAAAGAATCTAACTTTAACCGTTTAGCAACTGCAGGGGAGAAAAACAGAGTAATGGGTAACTTGGTTCCGACACAGTTTCAGAGCAGAGTTCAAAAAGTAACCTGAAGAGTGAAGTTGATGTGGTCTTGTAATGGAGAGAGAAGAGACTGTGACACGGAACTGACTTGGTTGACTTTGTTTCTGATTCTCTCTCTCACCTTCTTCTCCACCTCCTCCTCTGTTGGATCCATTATCGTGCTTTACTTGCTAGAAAGAGGAGAAAGTTCGAATCTTTACTCCTTCCCCAAGTTCATTGGTAGTTTCTACCGCCGCACTAACTTACTGGGCCAAAAGGCTTTGAATTTGGGCCTGGAGAACTGTCAATTAAGAGTAGGTTCTTCTCTAGGGTTTTCTTTTGCTCACCAGCCGTCTCTGTTTCTTCTATTTAAACGAGTAAAGGTGTCGCCTTTCAATATCCACCATCTCTTCTGTTAGGGTTTAAGTTTAGGCTGTGATTTGCTTCTTTTTTTTTTTCGTTTTTTTGAAAACATTCTATGGATAAAAAAGCCAATTAGCAGAGCAAGGGCGTCGAATTTTATATGGCGTGAATTGCCTTGAAGGTTGGCGATAATAAAAAAATGCGGTTCTCCGTGCCTATCAAACTTTGTTTTTGGTGTTGATAATGGCCTCGAACAAGTCGCTACATTAGCTTCTTTTATAAAACATCGTAGACCCTTTCACTTGTGTACAAGAATAAACTTATGTCTTGTGTTATGTATAAGAAAGAAACCAGAGATGGTCAGGTTCCTACTCTTTGATAAATGAGTTTGTAACTGTTACATCTCTGGTAAAGAAAACAGAGAGAAGGAAAGACCTTTTGATGGTTTCCATCAATTTGGTCTGAAATTCTCTCTAAAGGTGTTCATCGTTTGCTTGGTCATCTGATTCTGTGATGGCATGGGCTACATCTGTCCCCCACAACTGAATAATATCCATCAATACTTTAGAAAAAATGTAATGAAATTTTAACAGAATCAATCATGTCAAAACCAGGAGACCCAAAGTTACCACGAGGACCTTATTACTAAAGAGACTAGTCATACCTAATTTTAAATGAAACAAGTTCCAACTTATAACAATGATTCTGGCTCTCCCTCACATATCTATAGATGAGTATTATGATCGAAAGGTTTACTCAAGTAATTGAAGTAGTAGAGATAGTATACGTTGGAACTTCTAAAGGACAGAGATGTGTATCTAATAGGCTCATAATCAAAACATGTTCCAAATAGTGTACTATAAATTGTATGGAGGATATTTTCAACATGACTGACTCCATTAAAACTGCTAAAAGGCCATATGTGTTCATGTTCTGTTCTAAAAACAGAGTAAAGACTATATTCAAAACTGAGTACAAACCAGACTTTTTAACCACTACTTGAACGTTTGACTAAAAGTGACCAAACACAAACATAAGTGACTGGAAAAATAACCAAACTTAATCGCTGCTTCTCAATTTTGAAACTAGACCCACTAACCCCAGTAAGCTACACCAATATCAAGAACAAAAAGAAAATGTCTTTACTTAGAGCTGTACTTCTCGGTCATGTATCCAGCTGAAAGGAATCTTAGGTCCTTTCTTGGCTCTTGCTTGAGCTCTCTCATCCAATTTCCTGATTCTCGGAGATAACCCACATAAATAGTCTTGTGCTTTGTTTCCTTCACCTGAAAGCCCGGTTAAGTTCTCTATCTTCCACCTACCAACCAAAAACTCAAGAATGTCTGCGTAGTCTTTGGCAGTGTAAACACCTAGCCTCTGCGCCACCGAAGAGAAGTTGTCAAAGAGATTGTTGTCACGCCCATCGTACATCAAGTGAGCAGGCATTGAGATTTTCTTTCTCATCATGTCTGCAAAAGCCACCACAGTACCATCAGGATCAATCTCAAGGAGCTTCTCAACTATCTTGGTGTAAGCTGTTTCATGCCGCTTCTCGTCTGCAGCTATTGTGCCACATATTTGAGCTAGTTTGAGGTCTCCATGCTCTTTGGCTTGGCGAGCTGTGTTTCCGTGAGAGATGAAGGTTGCTCTTTCTTGGAATGATGTATAGATGAAGCCAAGGTAAGGGTTGTTCTCTGTACGTGGATCCTGTGGAAGAGAAGTTAGAGAACTTAATTAACTGAGAAACCAAGATAACTGAGCTTACCATTCCTGATCCAATCAAGTACTGAATAGTCTTTTCAATCTGCCTCATGTCAACACGACCTGACAAATAAAGATACTTATTCAGAAGATCACCGTGTCGGTTCTCTTCTGCAGTCCACGCTCTTGTCCAAACGGCCCATGAAGTTGGGCTAGCACCAGTTTCATCTCTTACTCCATCCAGAGTGTTCAACATGGTTTGATAGGTCGGAAGGGCTTCTTCTGTGATCATGTCTCCCACCAAAACAACAAAGTAATCATCAGGGAGCTCTCCTGCCCTCTCCCTCAACTCTCTTACCTGATCTTCGAACCCATCGGATGCAGGGTCAGGTAAGAAATCCTGTGGTTGCCATGACCTTTCCACGTCTTTGAGGTGAATTAGAAGGTTTTGCTCGGCCCAGTCTTCCATGGATTTGAAGATCTCGATCTTCTGGGGTGGCATGGAGTGCAGGACTTGAACGTGTACCTGCATTAATCAAGAAAATGTATCATCAGCATTTAGTCATACTCCATTGAAACTATCAGAAAAGGTCTAGTATACAGAAGAAACAAGAACACTTTTGGTTTTACTGGGATACGCATTCATCTGTATAATTCTAATAGAATAGTACACACATTAAAGTTGATTATGTGACCATTGAACATCTAGAACTTTTTAGATGTAAGACAGATGCATCTATGAATCAATCGTGTAGTCCATTCACATGCAGGGAGTGGAATGTAGAAAACAATATCAGATAAAGACAAGATAAAATCATTAAAAAAATGACTTGTTAAAACAAAGTGAACATACTACAGAAAAGGTGTAAATCTTTTGGACGGAAACTAGAGAGAGAGAGAGAGGCCACGAAGTAGGCATGCATAGACGCAAGTTGTCTTCTCCAGGAAGCACTCTATAAGAAGCGTGAAATCCAAAGTAGTGTCTTTAAAGAAAGAGAACAGACGTAACATGATGATATGTTCAAAAATTTCCTCTCAATGCAACAAGTGGACATGCATTTCACAGGGAAGAATATGAGAGAGTTGAGGATTTGAGTAAGAAGCTAGTTGAAAGTCAGGTTCTTTAATCTCTCTTAAGCAATCTAAAGATCATAGCAAATGGTGTTAACCTTAACAGAGACCACACCCATTATAGTGTAGTTTGATAATACCTCTAATCAAACTGGAATCTAAATAATCTGATGCCAACTAATTATGATGAATCTATAATATTGTGATGAAGTTGTCATTTGAATCGTATAGAATCAGGATCATGACACAAAGCATTGACGAATTAATCTCCTGAGACAGAGGATGGACCCATCTTTAATCACTACTAGACTCGGATGGAAAGCACATCCCTTTGAAGATAATCAGGAAAGTAGATATTAGCAAAGAAGAAACAAGAAGATGATGAGGAGAAAGGAGAGAAAAGAGACTGACTTGGCGCGGAGAGCGAGGCAGAGGAACTTGGGAGATCTGAATGTAGATATCGGCGGACGAACCCAGGAAGGGAGTTTGTAAGGCTGAGATACCAAAGAGTTAAGATTCAAGGCCATCTTGAATGAGGTTTTGTCTGTCTTTCAGAGACGAGGCTAAAATGCTCAGTATCTCTGCTGTTTTCTTTTCTCTAAGGTTCGGTTTCGTCCACAGAAAGAGAAGAGAAATGCTTTTATGAAATAACAGTGGCCAAGGAAGAAAGGAAAGTATTCTGATATACCCCAGTTGGAAAATAACTATTCTAACTACCCCACTATTTTTCTCACTGCCCCACTTTTTTTTTTTGTTCGTAGTAGTTTTTAGTAATTCAAGGTAGTTTATTTTTTGTTCATAGTAATTTCTAGTAATTTAAGGTAGTTTCTAGTAATTCAAAATAATTCAAAGTAGTTTCTAGTAATTCATATTACACATAATATTGATTCATTAAGGGTAATTGATTTTTTAACCATACTTAGACTTTGAGCAAAAAAAAAAAAATCAAATTTATGATGGGTTAAAATAGAATGAAGATGGTAGTGAGTGGGGCAATATAGAATTTAGTCCAGGAAGAAACTCTTACTCTGAGGTGACAGATGGAAAACACAAATAGTTAAAAATGGAAAATGACGTCATATATTGTGTGAAATCAAGGTTAAAGAAAAAACAAATTCAATATTTTTGAAGCAAATTCAATAGAAACTAGACTTTGAGTCACGCGCCTGCACGAATATATTATTATTTTGTAAAACTACAAATTTAATTAAGATTTATATCTATATACATATTTTATATATTATTTTTGGATAAAAATTTTATAACCAAAATTTCAAATAAAATTGTATTTTACCATATATTTAGATGATGATTCTATCTTAAGATATTTAGAACAATTAAGTAATATATTTAATATAATTTTTTTTTAAAAAATATTTATTATGCACAAAAAAATAGTTCAGTTTCACATAATTATTAACTAATTAAAAAAATGTGGACCATCTACAATAATTTCTTAAAGCCAATAATGCTTGACATCAACTCTATTAATATATCTATTCTTTTACGTATGTTTAGGTTAGTTGTTATTATTGTTGGTGAAATATGTTTATTTAAAAAAAAAGTCTAAATGGATATATATTATTGTTGTTGAAATAATTACGAATTATTTATTGTATATATATATATATATATATGTGTGTGTGTCTTACTTATAATTAGACTATATTATAATATGTATGTATAATAGTATAGTAGTATGTAATTTTCTAATACACATGACATGTATACTATGTCATGGCAAGTTTAATTAGACAACTTATAATATTCATGTATAATAGTATAATAGGATATATTTTTCTAATACACAAAGATCCTAATTAAGAGATATATTAAATAAAATATTATATATACGTACTATATCTACTCTATAAAATATCATGCTATATGAAGGCAATATATGTTATATACAAATATTAATCAGTACAAATATAAATAACCAACAAATGTAGATGCTATTTTTACGGGATAAATAAAATAAGGTTATATTGTTATACATGATATTCATATTTGTTAGGATTGTAGATAAATCAACCTAGTTAGTAGATTACTTATAGGTAGATAAAAAAAGTGACTCTATTTTAATAGAATATACTAAATTTTGATCCGTGCTTTCAAAGCGCGGGTTTATGTTTGATGCAAACTTTATATAATCGCATTTTCTATACAATGTAGAAATGTGGGATAAACTTGTTTAGTTCTTTAATTTCATCAAACATAGTCTTTTTAAAAATACAAGATAATCTTTCGGTGAAAATTTTATATGACCGCATTTTTGGTTTTAGATTTTAGATTGTCAAACCAATATAACCAGAATCCGAACGATATACGGTTACTTTATCGGTTTAGGATGTGTACAAATTAGAACCAAACCCGGCGTGTTATATTTGAATCTGATCCATACTTACAAACATGTCTACTTACATATTATGACACCTATGATATGATATAAATTAGTTTTGATTCAAAATATTCGACCCATATCCCAATAGGTACTTGAATTCTCAAACATAACTTATATTATGTTTTATATTTTGTTAAATTAATTTTATATTTGATAAATATTTTGTCTGTTTATTAGAATAACCCGTAAAATTATAATCATAAAAATATCAGTAATAACATGTTTTATCATATAATTAAATATTAATAGTAGATATTATTAATATTTATTTTATAAAAAATTCTATATATATATATATATATAAACGATTTTAAGACTTTATCTATGATAACTATATTATTATGTATTTGGTGGAGGTTTGAAAAAAATTGTTTATTATTATTATTTTTTTTTTGAATAAAATATTAAATTTGATTCAAAAAGAAAAAGACCTTGTTACACATAGTGTGTCCTTGCCTAATGTTTGTGTAAATAACATTGAAACAAAGCTTGAATAAGAAATACTAAGTTCTTCAAACGCCTCCTCCCTCAAACTATCTCATCCTCCTTTTCAAACATGTTTAGCACTCACTCCTACTAAACACCCAGCTCTCATTCCTACTGGTAGTCAATCCTCTCACTCCTTTTTTTACCCAGTCCTCACTCCTACTGGATAACCAGCTCTCACTCCTACTGGATCAATTCATTCCCATCACACATCCTAACAAAATAACTAGAACGCACTCAGCATTGTCTAGTGGAAAACCAGAACTGCAAACTACCAACCAGCTTCTTGTCTTTAGCAGCCTGAATGATAGTGAACTTATTTCTCACTATCTTATCAATTACTTTGGCCAACAAAATCGCAGGAGAAGCTTTCTGTCCATGTTTTCTTCTGTTTATTTCCCTCCAAACGCTATGAACAGTAGCCTGAAGCACATATCGAAGAGTAAAAAGGAGAAGCCTATCCTGATTCTCATTCACAATGATTCCCAAAATTGTTTATTATTATTTTTTGTATCAGTTACATATATTTAAATGTTATTTTTTTATATCCTAATGTTTTAATTTAGATATGTATATTAAAATATAAAATTGTTTCATTTTTTAATATCTTATGGTAGTATTTTGTTATTTTGTAAATGTAATTCATCTAGTTTATAATTTATAAAATTGATTAATTTATATTATAATTATTATTTTGTGTAATTTTTAGCTACAAATATGAAATATTTATATATAAATGTTATAGAAAGTTATTTCTTATTCTATAAATCAAAATGAGTTAATACTCATTTATAATTTAATTTAATATTATTTACGTTTTTATTACTAAAATAATATTAAAAAAATAAATATTTATTTTTAAAATAAAGATTTATTAAAGATATTGTTAAAATGTAATCTGAAAAAGTAGTTAAGAGTATCCTTTTGATATCTTATTTTGAATATATTTAAATATTATATTAATATTATGTTGTTATTTAATAATAACTAAGTTTGTTATATGTAACATAACACAAAATTAAATAAATGTAATGTGTTTTGAGGTAGACTACTTGCAAGTAGATAAAAAATGCTTCTGTTTCAATAGTATTGATATTATCAAGACATGTCACATTCCTCAACTTTAGTATCATCGACACATTATGTCACTAAGACACTTCTTTTTGAAAACTAAAAGTGGGTCCTAACTAACTCTTAATTGTTTAGTTCGATTTCAACCATAGAATAATTAATTGGTTTCTTCCCTTTCTAGCTTTTTCCTCAACCATTGATCTTCACAAATATAAACGATTCAGATTTAATAAGACAAATCTTGAAAAGACACATATCTACCAATTTACCTCAACCCTTCGATCTACATAAAATCTACAGCTCATATCATTTTTTTCTTTTAGCATCTTCTTCCACATTGAGTTCTTCTGGTGTTGTCCATCCAAAATTTTAAAGCTTGCTAATTAAAATGATAAAAGAGATATTTAAACAAATTCCTAAATACATTCCTGATAGTTGATTTAGTGAAGATGAAGAGAAAAATTGTTTAGAGACATACTACCTCCATTCTTTGAAGAAGTTCAACTCCGAAAATATAACCATGGATTTTGGATCCTTTGCTCAACGACACTCTTGGTAATTCTGATGCACTCAAGGTGATGGTTGGCATCAAAATACCAAAAACACCACTGGTGATGCGTTCGACCACACTATTTTTGTTTCTGGGAAACAACATACTTATCGGAAGCATGAACCAAACATCATCGGTTTATGTCTACTAATCCGGAGGAATGGCCATCCTTCACAACAGAAATCGAGAGTCTGAAGAGACTACAAGAGGACTTTGCGGATATGAGGCTTTCTCATATTCCTCGAAGTATGAATGGTAGAGCGGATGCATTAGCGAAAGAGGAGAGAAGGAAAGGATCTACTTTTTTCCCATATAGACCAGACCAGGCTAGACGGAGATGCTCCTAGGAGGATCGACTCGTCTGATCACCACTTGATCTAGTTTCAGATGGGCGGCGGACAAAAAAAAACAAAAAAAAAAACATAATCGCAGTTATCCAGATGTACACCAACCTTTGTCGTCTACAAGTACACACCCTTTCGCTCCATCCAACTCACCCCAGCCTTCCCTTGTTATCCTTCCACTGCGAGAGAAAAGGCCACGCTCAGAAATTAGTCTGCATCTCACCCCATTATATAAAAATTATATGAATCTCACCCCATTGATGAATACATATGTAATTACACATTAATAAAATATGTCACAACCTCTGTGTACACATGTACAGAATGCCTTAGCATGGACGTCTAGAGGATGCGTACATTTATACAGCCAGGCCATGAGTACACATGTACACTCAACCGAAAAACAAACCTTTCAACCTTCGATTATCCATTTTCTATGTTGTGTTTTTATTGGAGGCATTCTTTTTCATTTAAATACACATGTTTTGATATCCATTTTATGTCGGTGTACACATTGATGTTTGTGGAACATTTTTCGGCTAAGTGTACATATGGATAATGTGGATTGGTGTACATATGAATATGCAACATATATGTACACGATTTTAGTTCTACCTAACTTCTCAAATATTCAAGAATCTTACAACTAAGCGGATAATTTGTTTTTTTCAGTTAGACTTTGAATTTTTGTAGCATACATGAACTGATTACTCATTAAGTAAATGAGTGTGGGAGACGAGAGTATATAGTATAGACCATTGAGGATGTACACAAATTGTTTGCACCTTGCCCCATTGATGAATACATATGTAATTAAGCTGGGGATAAACCTTAATACCAGTGAGAGACACACAACTTCTTCGCCTAGCCCTCATACTTTACCGGCTCCAGTCTCCTACACCAACAAACACAACATTTACATGTTAATCTTGTAAAATAAAATTGTGTACATACCACATATATGTATTACATATTATATCCTAAAATTGTTTATATACATGCTTATACATATGAATACACATTCCAAATTGTATATATAATGTTGTGTACACATGTACACGATCCTTATTGTCCGTATGTAAACACGTATGGTGTACACTCTACCACATTTTTGTTAAATTACGCTCATAATCCCAAAATTTAAATTCCAAATCTAAATCCCTAACCCTAAAATCGAAATCCCTATTTTGACACCACGATTTCCTGCAAATTAACACCACCACTACTCAGAAACACCAAAACAGAATCATATGCTGTGATTGGTGAAATCCTTATTGTTTACATGTTATGAATTCTTAAACCCTCAAAAAACAAACCTCTAATTGCAGAAGGTAACTTCACCCAGAAAAAGTTCTAACCTTTGTCCTATGATGCTCGTTTCCTCTTCGATGTTATTGTCTCCGCCATTACTCTCGCCGGTCAAAATTTTGATGTTGGAATTTGGTCACGTTCACTCTTGAAACTCTCTCCATTTGTTTCTTTCTTCGTCGTTTTATTTTACACAGAAAGAACCAAATTTTTGATGGACCCAAATCAAATATTTAGTTTGTTTTAATCTTATTTGGAGTCCACCACAAAAAAAAAATTCGAATTTGTTAACCTAGACCAACCAGAAAGAAAATATATATTACATATTTGCCCATCTTTGGTTCAGCTTTATGAGGACAAAAGGGTCATCAACCACTAGAAAGTATCTCTATAGCACTAAGTGCTCTCACGTGATGTAAAATCACATAAAATGACATGTATGAAAGTATTACACTCAGGGACAGTTTTATGTTTTTAATATCATTAAAAGACAGTTTGTTATACATAAACACTTTTTCCCAACAACAAGCTTTGACTTTAACTACATAGTTCTAGTATAACTAATAAGATATTTAACTATATATTGTTATTGGCGGGAAAAATTGTCCACCACATATCTGTAATAAAAACACAGAAACTGTCTATGAGTGATATAAACTCTTAAAAATAACTCAATTCAATATATATATATATATATATATATATATATATATATTATGTGACTGATTTATAGACATACGTGTATAAAAGTTGAAAAGAGACAATGTCTAGAGAGAGAAACAAAGCATGTAAAAAAATAAAGATTTTTATAGCTTCTTTTCCGATTGAGAATTGATGTTTGGCAAAGATTTACTAAAACAATCTATTTTCAAAATTTGAATTGTTTGGAATAGAATGCGACATGTGAGATGTACATATTTAATGAAAATATTTTTTAGTGAATGTCAAAGATCTATCATGAAAATTATGGTGAAAGTTTTTTTCAACTAAAAAAAGAAAAACTGTGGTGAAAGTTGCAGAAGATTTATGAGTCTATTGAGAATAAAGGTACAAAGCTCTATTACAGACCTAAAGTAATGAAAATATTTGTGATAGTAAAGAGAAGATTAACAAGTGATGAATATATTTGTAATGAGTCCACACTATGAAGTTAAAATGATATTCTAAATCTAATGAAATAAGTCTCTATTTATAGAGTATGAAAAATGATAAATTTTGATATAATATGTTTTTAAATTTTTTTTTATATATAATAGTTAAATCAAATAATGTAGAAAAGAAAAAAAAGAACAAAAAAGCATGAATGCTTACTTTTTTTCCCCCAATAAGAAGTTGTCACGTCGGCACTATCTATCTTCTCTTCACAACAAATTCAACTAGTTTAATAGTTTCAACTAGTTGAGAGCCACATGTTTTGCATACACATTCAACATCCCATTACACTTTCTCAATTGAGAAAATTTTATTTTCAACATCCCATTGCACTTAGTCTAATATCTTGTTATATTTTAGGAACCATATACCTCACCTCTACCTTTTTTACCATTGTTTTTCAAAATCTTTCTTACAGTATCCCAATTCCAAACGTATATAAGATGCAGACAAGTTCTTTCTTCTTTCAACATAAGACTAAAGACACAAAAAAATACTTTCAGATCATGTGTTAAGAGTATTACATTCATTATAAGCAAGAAACTTAAAAACATTTGTAAAAGCAAACACCGTCTCACATGTTAAAACCCTCAACCACAACTTTTTTTACCGTCCCACTGAAGTCAGCGGTTCCGTGACCGTCAAGTCACCTCCAGACTCCATTGTCACCTCCACATCAAGCACGTTTCCATACGTCTCATACCATCTTCCCAACTTCTCAGTTCTAACAATATCAAGCAAATTATTCGGAAGCTCAGAAACTCCATCCAAAATCTTTACCACTGTAGCCATATCCGGCCTAACCTCTTCAACCTGGTGCGAACACAACACTCCTAGCTTCAGAACAACCTCAAGCTGTCCCTTATCACATTCTTGTCTGATTCTTTCACTAGCCGTCTCTACTATATCACCGTTCTCCCAACGGTTAATAGCCCAATCAGCAAGAACAATCTCATCAGGCTTTGCCCGTGGCTCAAACAGTTTCCTACCGCAAGAAACTTCAAGCATGAACACACCAAAGGCGTAAACATCTGTGCCTGTCGTTGGTCTTCCTGTTCTCATGAGCTCTGGTGCCATGTAACCAAACGTTCCAGCTACTGTAGAGGTCTGAGCTTCATTTCCTTGATCATGTAACTTAGCGAGTCCAAAATCTCCAAGACTTGCATTCATCTTGTCGTCTAACAAGACATTAGCTGGTTTGATGTCTCTATGAATCACAACTTGTAGCCACTCATGATGGAGATAGGAGAGCGCAGAGGCAACATCTTTTATGATCTTGAAACGTTGAGTCCAAGAAAGCTTTTCTTGATCTGAATCTGATCCTCCGTGGAGGTACCTGTCAAGGCTACCATTGGGCATAAAGTCATAAACCAAGTAGAGCTCTTCATTGTACCTGCAGTAACCAAGAAGCCTGACTAGATTCGGATGTCTAAGACGACCAATGGTAGCTATCTCTGCCAAGAACTCACGCATCCCTTGACTTGAGTTGTGTGAAACTCGTTTAACAGCAATCTTTGCATCAGAGCCTGGAAGTGTGCCTTTAAAGACCTGACCAAAACCTCCTTTGCCTAGAAGCTGTTTGAAACCATTTGTGGCTTTGAAAAGTTCTTTGTAAGCAAACCTATGAGGTCCACATTCGATCTCCCATTCCTCTAAAACCTCCATGACCTTCATATGTCTCTTATAAAAGAAGAAACTCAAAGCTGAAGCAACAAGCGCAGCAAAGAGAGCCAATGCCAAAGCCGTCACCAGAACTATCAGAGCTGCCTTAGTTTTTGTTATGGGATATGGAGGAAACGTTGGTATCCCTAAGTCAAGATCTGGAATAGTAATGTAGCCATTTATAAACCATATCCACATGTAATGCATTGCTCCAACCGAGCCAGTAGAGGCTGAGAAGCCTGCATACATCTTGTCCAAAAAGTATGGTGAGAGATCTTGGCTCAGAGAAAGAAGTGGCTTCGTTGGATAATAAGCCTCCTCTGGTGATGATAAGGTCACATTGATCTGTGTATCCTTGTGGCTATACAAGATAGTTAGTCTAAGTAGGTTTCCACTGATCAGAGAGAGGTTTCTGAAATGACCCTCTTGATCATAGTAACCAGCAGGAGCAGATACAATAGACCTCATGCCGTTTATGTTGATACCAACATGGTTATCATTAATGTCACCAAACTCATCATCTTTGTTTATATCAAGCTCAACAGCGAAGATATGATTCGAGGTGTTCCCATTGTTTGCTTCGTTGAAGATTCCAAGGTACTGATCAGCAGATGCGTTTGTTATTCCTCTCGTGGGGGAGATCACAAAGGCCATTCCGTGAGAGCCTTTGTGCTTATGCTCAGGGACAATGACAAAGAAGAAGGTGACAGAGAAAGATGTCATTGTACCGTTGGAGTTCTTGAACTGGAGTATCTCGTCGTGGAAGGCTTGGCCATAGGCGTGTTTCTTGGTGCTCGTTAACGTTCTGAAGCCTTTGACAAATCCAGATGATCCCTGCATAATCAGCTTCCCATTGGTGTATTCAGTACAACAGAGCAGAACAAGGATCAAGAAAATGACCTGTGAAATGAGTTTACTAGACATGATCATTGATGGATTGAAGAGTTAGAAAATGAGAAGTTAGTTTATGTAATCATTTATGTCCTGGAGAGCTTGATGAAAGACAACTAATCCACATAAAAAACAAACATGAACTAGTCAAGACCTGGAGAGACTAAAAATAGAGAGTTAGATAGCTACACGTTGCAGAGTCAATGCCTGCTGCCAATTAATTAAGCAAGTTTGCATCTATTAGAAGCAACATGACAAGTAAATTAGTGACTCCCCTCAAAGAAAACATAAGAACATGACAAGTCAATGCCTAAAACCAATTAATTGAGCAAGTTGTATCTTTAAGAAGCTACATGAAAAGTAAACTAGTTACTTTACACAAAGGATCATATGGACTAGTCAAAACCTGCAAAGATAAAACAGACTGTTAAGTTTTTAGTTTCTTTTTGTTTGTTAGAGTTAGAGAGAACGTTTATGATGATTTGGTAATGATGAGGCAATGGAAAAACGTTCACAGCAGAGAGCTAGCTACGTTGTCGAGTCAACGTCAGCGTTCATGATGCCCACTTCCTCCATGTACCATGGAAAATTCTAAGAGCTAGTCAAATATATTTGTGATAAAACATTTTAAAAATAAGAAATGGTCGACCCTACATCTACAAGCAGTCATCACAGCTTTGTTAATGGTTAATGCATTATTATTTACTTTTTCTTTTGTTTATATCTTTAATACTTAAGTAAGAGGTCAAGTAATGACTTGATCTACAAGAAAACATGAACTAGTCACAAAACCTAGTCACTATTTTTGGTCTCTACAAGTCTTGACTAGTTCATCATGCTCTCCAGGATATAAATGATTACAGAAACTACTTGATTTCTTCTCATTTGTCTAACTCTTCAATATAAAAATGATTATGTCTTGTAAAACTGTCTCACATGTAATTTTCTTGATCCTTGTTCTGTTCTGTTGTACTCAATACACCCGCGGCAAGCTGATAATGCAGGGATCAGCCAGATTCTTCAAAGGTTTCAGAACGTTAACGAGCACTAAGAAGCACACATATGGCCAAGCCTTCCACGACGAGATACTCCAGTTCAAGAACTCCAACGGTACCATGACATCTTTCTCTGTCACCTTCTTCTTTGCCATTGTCCCTGAGTATAAGCACAAAGGCTCTCACGGAATGGCCTTTGTGATCTCCCCCACGAGAGGAATAACAAACGCATCTGCTGATCAGTACCTTGGAATCTTCAATGAAGGAAACAATGGTAACACCTCGAATCATATCTTCGCTGTTGAGCTTGACATAAACAAAGATAATGAGTTTGGTGACATTGATGACAACCATGTTGGTATCAACATAAACGGAATGAGGTCTATTATATCTTCTCCTGCTGGTTATTATGATCAAGAGGGTCAGTTCAGAAACCTTTCTTTCATCAGTGGAGACCTACTTAGAGTCACCATTGTGTATAGCCACAAGGATACACAGATCAATGTCACCTTATCATCACCAGAGGAGGCTTATTATCCAAAGAAGCCACTTCTTTCTCTGAACCAAGATCTCTCCCCATACTTCTTGGAGAAAATGTATGCAGGATTTTCAGCCTCTACTGGCTCAGTTGGAGCAATGCATTACATGTGGATTTGGTTTATAGATGGCTGCATTAATGTGCCAAAACTGGATTTAGGGATACCTGAGATTCCTCCATATCCCAAAGCAAAATCTCAGGTACTATGGATAGTTCTGTTGACGTGCTTATCATTGTCTTTATTGGCTTTCTCTGCTGCTTTGGTTGCAAGTCTCTGTCAATGTTATAATCTGTGGTTTTGATTTGGTTTTCTACTTTTAGTAAACTGTGTGTATATGTATAGTTGTATTGTATTGACTGTTGTGAGCAGAATAAAATCATTTTGATCTTTTTCACCGATATCAATACCAGCTCTTGTGTCAGATCATATGCCTTCAAAAGTTCTACTTCAAACCAAATCCTCTGTCATTATTTGTCCTTTTCATTATGTTACATCTGTAAATTCATAAACCCAAATTACAGCAGCACTCAAATACCAACAAATGAAGCAAAGTTAACATGAAAAGCAAAATGTTCCATCAAAAAGGAAATCACACATATCTGTTAAACGGTTTCCTAGACATCGAGACAGTAGAGTCAATGCTCAAATTTCCTACTGATTTAACTGTCTTGTGCTTCTCAAGAGCCACCACACCTCCAGGTGAACCAGGACCTTTGTTGCTCATGAGCAATGATCCTTTGTTCCATCTAAACATATCTTGACCTTGTTGCGCTGGTGGATACGACATTCTCCTCTTCTCGCTGCTGACCGATGATGGTGTACCCATTACTCTCTCTTTTGGGTTGCTGTTTGGTCTAACTTTGGCCTTGGCTGAGACCGTTGGAGCCATGTAGCTTGGGAATGGAGGGCAGCTAGTGAGACTGTCATCATCCTTGAAAGGAGAATCTTGACCTCTTAGTCTTCCTCTGGAATATCTTGATGTGAAGGGTCTGGATAGTGTAGACCTCGACGATTTGGGTGTGGAAGTGTCGAAGTTGTTGTCAAGCTTGAAATGGTGTTGGTTTCTTGACTGAGATAGAGGGCTTGGGCTTAGTCTTGTTGGCGTTAGCCTGTAATGGCTCGGTACAGGACTAGCAAGAGGAAGCTGTTGATCCCCCCAGTTCCACCATAGAGGGAGCCCACCTGAAGTTCGAATGTCCTGAGCAGACTTGGGTGTTACCTTGTGGGAATAGGCATAGGCCATGGATCTTTCTCTCTTGATGATTGCATCAGTTTTCCTCTGTGATCTAGCATCTCTTTCTTCTTTTGTCAGCACACTGTCGTCCCAATGATCATTACCAGCTTCAGATGCAGCCCATTTTGCTTTGTCTTTCTCAACTTGTGTTTGGTTTTCCAACATTTTTATGCGGTGTGACTGAATTTTGGATTGTACACGGACCAGTTTCTGCATGTACTTCATTGCATTTACTGTCTGCCGTTTCACGCTGTATCCTTTCACCACCCCTTGAAGCCTGACTAGACCTTTGAGAGCTTTGAAACTCCTTCTTGCCTGAAATCAATAACTTTCTTGTCTCGGATATGGACGCTAGTGTAGTGGGATGAATCTTTAAACAGAAACAAGAATGTGTGTATACGTACCGTGTAACCTTTGAAAGCTGCTTGAATCTTTGTTGCAGAAACATGTTGGACCAAGATAGTTGGTTCTGGTCTAGGCGTAGTGGGTATTGGAGCATCCAAGGTTGATGGTTCTACTCTTGGAGGAGGCTTTGGTGAAGGTAGTCTTGGAGTTTCCAATCTTAATGAGTCTTCTCCTGGAGTAGGCGGCTTTGGAAGGATGGCCTCAACTCTTGGTGAAGTTGATTCTGGAGAAGGAGGCTTTATAGAGACTACTTGTGGGGAGACAACTCTTGGTGAAGTTGGTCTTAGAGAAGGAACTATGGGAGGGGAAAGTCTCTGAGAAGGAGCTCCAGGCTTCAGAGGAGTACTGGAAGAGGCTGATGATGGATTTGATTGGTCAGGGGTCTTCGGTGAGAGCGATCTTTGAGAGTCCAATCTTGCAAGGTCAGGTCTAAGAGGAGGAGACTGTGGAGAAGCAGCTTGTGGGGAGGCAACTCTTGGAGAAGCAGGCCTCAGAGGAGGAGAGGCTGAGGGTGGATTTGATCGATCAGGAGTAGGAGGTCTGAAAACAAGATTGTGATCTCTCTCAGCTTCTGCCAAAATCTTCTCAATACTACTAGGCTCTCTGAAGATTGGAAGAAATGAACTGCTCTCTCCACGCTTTAGCTTCCCAAAGCCTTTCTCCCTCTTTTCTTTGCCACTCTTTCTCTCTGCTTCCTGCTACCAAAAAAATTGCTCACCAGGAGCCAAAGTAATCTCATCATCAAAAACTCTTTAAACATCCAACACTCTAGCAGTAAAAACAAAAAACAAAAAAAACAAAATCCGTTACACACTTGTTGAGAGTAACAAGCTTACATTGCCTAGCTTCTCTTTGGAATGCGGAGTAAAAACCCTTTTGACCGCAGAAACCCAACTTCCTTTCTTCCCCATTTCTCGAACATTACTTTCCTTACCTTACCTGTCACAAATAAAACATAACTCAAGCTTTGTTGAAGCCTTTTTTTCTTTCAAACACCTCAAAAGATGCACTCTTTTGTACTAGTCTTACCATCTATGCATACAATTGTGTATTGATTAAAACTAAAATTTTCATTAGAAACGTTTCTTACATAGATTGATGGCTAGATGTTGCTAGAAGCTGCAAGTTAGCATGATTGCTTTGTATCACTGACGATGAAGAACAGCTCCAACAACAAAAAGCCTTACCTGCATGATTTAAATGTAACAGCAGTTACAGAAGATCCAAGAACTCAGATACAGAAACTGCCAAATAGAAAGATATGTTATAAGTTGTTGAACTCTCATGAAAAGGAAGTTTTAAATCTTAGGCCAACATAATATCTTCTCTTCATAAAAAAAAAGGTGGTTTGATGCAAAAGACAGAGACAGAGGCAACAGTTTTCAAGTGTAAAAACTCCGAAATTCAGATATTAGCAAATTGAAAGTTGAAAACTTTGCTTAGAGAATTTTATAAGTAAACATACAAGTCACAAGTGAGCTCTTTCTCCTTTTTTTTTAATAAGTAAACAGTTCTCACTCTCTCTAGTCGAAACACAGGAAGACAACAACAAGAACAAGAACAAGAATAGACAGATCTTTTGAAACAATCCAGAAAATTAAATCAAAGAGAAGTAAATAAAAATCCTTTCCTAGGTATATTCACAAGCAACAGGAACTACATACCTTGTCTCTGAGAATTTTGTTTGGTAGCTTTCCCTTCTTCTTCTAAAGGGATAGAGACAGGGAGGGGCAAAAGAAGCAGACACAGAAGAAAAACTCTGGTCTGGTAATTTTCCTCTGTTTCTTCTCAGCTCTCACATAAAAAGTAGGAGACTATTTATTGTATTTTGTTTTCATAATGGGTATTTAAGGAAAAGTATTAGCCTTCTAATCTTTTCTTTGTGTGAGTGGGTAAAATTACTTTGAAATTGTTGAAAAGTCTGCAACTTTGGATCTGGGACTACATGATTTGGAACTTTTTCTTTCCTATTTTCTCTTACTACTTTTTTTATTAGCTCGATTATCATCACGAAAATAGAGCAACAGTTGGCCACTTTATCACTCAACCTTGGCCTACCATTTCTTTTAGCTCACTGTAACCACAAACTCAAAAACTTTTCCCTAGTATACCAAACGGTAACATAATCAACATAATATGGTGGATTGTGTTAGACTACTATATTTTTATTGGATCATTTGATAGTCTATGATCAAGTAAAAACAAAATTGATGGTGGTTTTATATGGAGAATAAAATTTTCCTAGAAAAAAAACTAAACGAATATTTGATATTATTTATTTAAAAAATTAATTTTATACATGTTTATATATGATATTAATTAACATTTTTAAGTAAAATAATCATGCTAAATGGTAAAAATTATATCTAGAAATAAAATATAGCTGTTTATGTTTCTAAGTAAGTATTTTGAATGTTTATAAGTAAGTTTATCCACTCAAACATATTCGATCGAATCCTAAATATAATACTCCTAACTATTTTCTCTAGCGGTAAAATTTTTTTGACAATGTTTCCTCCAGTGAAAATTTTCTAAGAATTTTCCTCCGATGAAAGATGTTTATAGCGTTAACAGTTTTTGTAAAAGAATAAACTGTTTATTTATTGTTATGCCAATGATAGGAACTCAGATATTATAGCAAATGATAAATAGAACCATTCAAACTTTAGATAGCAAACATGAATTCCATAAATAGAGTTCTCTGTTATTCATTTTATTTCTGTAATCAATACAAAGTTTTGGATGTTTTTACTTACGATACTGAAATTTGCAACAACCATAGCCTGAAATAAGAGAAAAATACAATAAGTTACTGATTTAATATTGACAAGGAAGAGTTATAACATAATTGCTTAGAGAGGCTAACTCACTAGGATCAGTGACAGTAACGAGACCAGAGCCTTCGAAGTTGCAATTCAAGTAGTGTCTTCCTTGAGCTTGATAATAAAGATTCATGGCGACAGACGCATGATTAAGAGGAGTATTAGGATCATAACATAAACCTCCTTCCATAATAATTCGACAATCTATTTTAGAACATGCAAAGTCTATGTTTTGTAATAATCTGTTATTATCCGTAACAGGGTTCGCTACACACCAATCGCCTTTGCTCTGCAACAAAGAGCAAGCTCAAATGGAATAAAAATATATATATATGAGACTGATTTTTATTTACCTTTTTAATTTATTTTGGAATTTTGGAATAATCGTAAATGCACGTACCTGTGAGTTTACTCTCATGAAAATTTCAGACGAAAGATATAAAAAGATGATGAAACAAAGGCTTATGTGTGCTTTAGGCATATTTTATTTTGTTTGACGTCTGAAAGTTCGTCTAGAGCTCTATTTCGCCATTTCACTAGATTTAAGTTCTTTATATACACATGTAAAGAGAGACAGTCAACCAAAACCAGTTAAGTGTTATATAAATTTAGCTTAAGTACAAAATGTAAAGATAACTTCTTTTCCAAACTTTACAAATATAACTGTCATTATTTTCAGCAACACATGTCATTCTAATCTTGGAGATATAAACTAGGTGTGTTGAATCACGTTTTTAAGTTTTAATAGCTATAAATAGTTAAAGATAATATTTATTTTTATGTTTTAATAGCTATAAATAGTTAAAGATAATATTTAGAAACTGTATGAAACCGAAATACTTAAGTTTTATGTGTATGGTTATATACACTTTTATATATAATTAACTATCATTTTTCAAGAAAAAACACAAGATTTTTTATTTATTTGCCAGATTTCACAAAAGTTTATTTGTTACTATTAACTTTTAACAACAAAGACAAATTGTCGTATTATCTTAAAGTTTGTAACACATCTAAATTCATAATTTCTTAGATTATTTATTAAATTAAATGAATAAGCAAGTTTTAATAATACAATTTACCTTTTCAATCTAATAATCATATAGTTGAAAACCTAAAAGAAAAGAATGTAATTGGGGCGGAGATTTAAAGTAGATACTCTTTAGCTTGCTTGAAGGATAAACAACTTTTTTTCTTCTTGAGATGCAAATGTATGAAGACAGATTAAACATCAAAAATTACAAAACAATCATTTTCTCAACTAATGAAACAGAGTGTGATGCAAAGTAGAGATCCAGTAAGAGATGACATATAAAGAAAAGGCTAATTCTTGATTCGGATGCTCCGTATTATGTTGGAATTGATACCTGAACCTTTTCCTCCATATGAACCCCAAGATTTCCTTATTTCTCTTGAAATAAGCAGTTTTTATTTATATGTTCATGTTGGCTTATCTAACTTGTTAACCAAAATAGAAAATGTATTGCTTAAAAACTCATTTAATCAAAATGAGAACACAAAACAAAATTGTGACAAACATTAGAAGAACTCTCTTCAGTCTCCGTGTCTTATTTTCCATTTCAGTTGCTATTCAAATGAGTACAACAAACTCATCTCCACCATGGACAACTAAACCAAGAACTCGGACTATGGTTTTACTAGTTTAAACGCACTATATATAACTTTGAAATAAAAATTGATATAAATAAATATATAAACTCAAGCTAGAATATTATTAAAATGTTTCATCTAAGTGACAAGACAAGTCTTCTTCCCACATTCCTTTCTCATTATAATTCATCTACGTATGCTGCCACATTGGCTCGTGTGTGAGATTTACAGATTAGATTTTACTGCCTTAAGACCTAACTAACCCTACTATGTCATCACATTAAATTCATATGTCAAGTATATCATGAACTTATAAAAATTGACCACTAACCCAAATCGATAAAGCAGTAAAGCACACAACTAGAATAGCCATGAATTATCATTTCGAGAAGTCAAGTTAAAAGTAATATCTCATATCAGAACTCAGAAGTAAGATGATATATTGAGCAAATCATAACAGTTTTTGCTAAGGGATATTGTAGCATATGATAGATCGACATGAAGCAAACATGAAATTTCATAAATAGAGTTCTCTGATATTTATTTTATTTTGTAACCAATACATAGCTTTGCATACTTTTACTTACGATACTGATACTTGCAATTCCCATAGCCTAAAAATAAGAGAAAAAAATATAATAAGATATTGATTCAAGATTGACAAAGAAGAGTTACATAGTCTCATAAAGAAGTTAACTCACTAGGATCAGTAATGGTAATGAGACCAGAGCCTTCGAAGTAGCAATCCTGTTGGTGTCTTCCTTGAGCTTGATAATAAAGATTCATGGCATTAGAAGCGTGATTAAGAGGAGTATTAGGATCATAACACGAACCTCCTTCCATAATAATTCCACAATCTATTTTAGAACATGCAAAATCTATGTTCTGTAACAATCTTCCATTATCTGTAACATGGTTCCCTATACACCAATCTCCTTGGCTCTGAGCAAGTTCAAATGGAAAAAGTTATATATAACTGATTTTTATTTTTTATTTTTATTTTGAATTTTGTTTTGGAGTAATCATAAACACGTACCTGTGAGTTTACACTCATGAAAGTTTCAGAAGAAAGATATAAAAAGATGATGAAACAAAGGTTTATGTGTGCTTTAGACATATTTGATTTTGTTGACGTATGCAAACTCTTCTAAAGCTCTGCTTCGTTTTTTACAATTAGATTTAAGTTCTCTTATATATATAACAGACGTTCACCCAATTTTTTTTTTTTTGGAAATTAGTAGACAGCAAAGGAATGGAATATAAAAAAATGGAATAGATTTTATTCTATTACTTTAAATTTTATTTATTGTTTTGTAGAATTGATAGGACAATCATATCAGCCTTTTTATTATAAATGGTAAAAGTAATTGTGGGATGAGTAGAATTAGACTGTTTCATATTATTTCATTCCAAAAATTGACAATTCATTAATTAAATTATAATATTTTCAAATTTTACAAAAGTAACAGTCATTATTTTAAGCAACACATGTCATCCTAATTTTGGAGATAGAGACTAAGCATGTGTCATCCTGATCTTGGAAATAGAGATTAGAGTTTCACTGGTTTCTCTGCTACCACCTACAAACGTAATTTTTACGATTGGTAGCGGCGATTGGTTTTATAAGAGCATCTCCAACCCAACCTCAAATTTTGAGGTTTTTGTCATTCCAACCCAACCTCAAATCCTCAAATTTTGAGGTTTTGAATAGTGACACCTCAAATTTGAGGTTTCACTATTCAAAACCTCAAAACTACAATTCATTTTCTTTTTAGTCCTTGCTATTATTTTCTTTCACAAATACATCTACTAACTTTATTTAGAATAACATAAGTACATAAAAAAAAATAAAGTTGAATAAATATTACATAACATTAAAATAAAATTCACACAAACAAGAAAATACATTAAATAAAACTCACACAAAATAAAAATGCATTAAACAAACTTAACATAAATTAAGAAAATTACATAAACATTTAAATATTACATATTTTACAAGTGGTATAAAAATACCAGAATTAGAATTCATTGGCTAACCGGATCCTGAACCTCAAAAATAATCGAAATATGGTTGATAAGTATTCGGATCAAATGAAGGTTGTTGCTGCTCTTGATTAGTTCTTTTTTGTATGATTTTCGCCTTTTCCAATCTCAAATACTCACGTGTATCAGTATCAACAGAGTCTAAATTTGTTAATAATATCTTATCATCCCGTTCTCGTTCTTTAAGGGCTAATTTCTTAGCCTGATTTTGGAGACGTAATTGCTGCAAATCATAATTCTTACTCCTAGTTGATGCACTTTCTTTTAAGAAATTAAGGATTTGTTCGTTTGATGAAATCATAGAGTCAGCAGATGAATTATTACCTTCAGCCATTTTTCTTTTTAATTTTGCTTTCTTCGATCCAATAGGACGTTGTCATGAATTTGATACACCATCTTCACTGCTTAAATTGATTGAAATGAAGACAATCCAGGAGACTGTGATGTTGGAGATCCAACCGTATCAGTTCCAGCAGTGGGAGTTTCTGGAATATTAATATGGACATTGTCGGTAAACTTCGGAATATTCTTCATCAAAATCCACACATGATCAAACTTAAAACCTTTTGTAAGTTTTGGATCTTGTGTCAGTAAGGTCTTTGCTCTATCCATCTGCATTGATATTTACATAAAAATATGTTTAGTAAATATTCAAATATCATGTATATAAAATAACAAACTTGCTGAATATTAACTTACTATGTCTTGTTTGGATGCTCCACTTGGATGCATATTCTCCACTTGTTGGACACAACTCTTCAAATTCCTGACAGCATAGAGAATAACAATCATCCTACCTTGTAAAGATCTACTGCTTCTACTCTCCCAACTCTCGATTTTTTGTTCATTGTAACTTTTTTCTATCTTTTCCCATAATTTTTTCGTAGCTTGGTTATTGCTAGCTATTGGATCTTGTGAAATTTCTAAATACACTTGACATAACAACTCATCTTCTTGGTGACTGAATGATGAGCCTCTATATTTTTTCCACATTTGTTTCTTAAAAAGAAAGAATTGTTTGAAGTGTGAGTTTTTCTTTATGGGGAGTCTATTATTTAAACACAAGAAAGGATAGATAAGAATGCAAATACATGTACACAAATATGTTTCACAAATTTCCTTATCTACAATGTTGGATATCTTGGATACACTGATGATAAGGTTTCAATCTAACGGTGGATCACAAAAGAGATGTAATGAATGGCACTGATGAGATTTATAGATTTTTTCTTATCTAAAATCTTGGATATTGTGGATAGGATGATGATTGGATTTCAATATAATGGTGTATAGCAAGTGTAATATGATGAATGGTGTAGATGGAATTCTCAGATTTCCTTATCTTATTTAATAGTAATATTTTATCTATAAAAATACATATATAGATGTTAGAAAAACATCGATAGCTTTTTCCTTACCAAAAAATGAATTTTAATATTGGAGATCCATCTTACTCACATAACTCTTCTTCATCAGACTCATCTGAGTTTGATTATTTTTTGATGGATGACATCGAAGCAATGGATAGAGAAGAAAATATTGCTATCAATTTGTTTCTCAACAACAACCGCCTTCTTCACCAAATCACTCACGAAAATGATCAAGTTAATTTTCGAGGGTCTATTCCCGGATACACCGTGACAGAGAAAAAGCCCAACAAAATTTGTTGAGACAATCCTGTATACGGTGAAAGAGAATTCCATCGCTTATTTCGAATGTCGAAAAGGCTTTTTCTTCACATAGTTGATGCTGTTAAACAACATGACAACTACTTCACTCAACGGCGTGATGGTTTAGAAAGACTGGGCTTATCAACCTTGCAAAAAGTAACGGCTGCCTTCCGGATCTTGGCATATGGTATGCCTGCTGATGCCACATACGAATACATCAAAATAGGAGAGTCTACGGCAATCGAATGCATGAAGCGGTTTGTCGAGCAATTGTCGAAATTTTCTCAGAGTGGTATCTCAGGTCACCAACAAAAGAGGATGTCACTAGGCTTCTACACATCGGCCAACAACGTGGATTTCCTAGGATGTTGGGTAGTCTTGATTGTATGCATTGGAAGTGGAAAAATTGTCCAACTGCTTGGGCCAGAAAATTCGCAGGCCGCAGCGGAACACCCACAATCATTCTTGAAGCCGCTGCAGATTGTGATTTGTGGATATGGCATGCCAGGAAGCAACAACGACATAAACGTTTTGAATTCATTAAATTTATTTTCAAAACTTGCTCAAGGTACTGCTCCTTCTGCTAATTATATTATTTAAGGAAATGAGTATAATATGGGCTATTATTTAGCCGATGGTATTTATCCAAAATTTTCAACTATTGTTCAAACTATAAGAGATCCCCAAGGTCCGAGAAAAAATTGTTTGCAGCAAAACAAGAAGCATGTCGAAAAGATGTCGAACGTGCCTTTGGAGTTCTACAATCAAAGTTTGCTATCATAGTAGGATCTGCACGTTACTGGAAGAAAGAAGACCTGCATGATATAATGACATCGTGTATCATAATGCATAACATGATAATCGAGGATGAACGTGATATCACCGCACCAATTAGAGATACAAGATCAGCACCTGAGGTAACTGTTGAAATAGCAGTGAATGAACATACCCGATTTCAACAATTTCTAGCTCGTAACCTATAAATTAAAAATAAAGAGGCTCACTTATCACTTCGGAATGCATTGATTGAACACATATGGGAGCATTACGGAAATAATGTTTGAGTTATTTGGTATTTTGTATGTAATTTTCTAAAATTTGTGTGTATGTGTATTGTTTTATTATATATGTAATTTCTATTATTTTATTATATAATATTGTAATATTATGTGTTGTATAACATATTAAAAGTCTATTTTATATATATTTGTGAAATTTTATCATTATTTGTAACTTTTATTAATGTTAAGGACTGTAATAAAAATAATGTAAAATTTTAAGGATTTTTTTGAGGGTTTATGGTTGGAGTAATCAACCCTCAAATCTTCATTTTGAGGTTTTGCTCTCAGGTTTTGGGTTGGAGATGCTCTAACAATCACACCAAACACTATATATCGTTCCAAACCTCCAGGGACGTGCTAATAGTGTTATGAAAAAGACATTAGCCTTGATCCCCTCATAATTTACAAAAATTGGGGATCCAAAACTCGAAAAAAAAATCGTTGTAGAATAGTTAAAATATATTCTGTTTTCTACTTGTATTCAAAACCAAGCATCAACAAAACTATTGTTAAAATAATATATAGTACATAATATTTTTTTATCTATTCAAGTTCTAAAGATTTTAATTTTTTTTTCCTCAAATTATTTTCATAAAATATGTTAGTATTTCTACTTTAAAATTGTTTCTCTGTCATATTTAGTGGTGTGAATGTTAATTCTTAACATACTAGAATTTATTTGACATATAAATTCTGATGTCTTTTTAGTTTTTTTCCCTCAAAAAATATTATTCATTTTTATTTTCTGGTTTTAAAGAAAATTAAAATTCTTTAAAATAAATATGAAAATGATTTATAACAAAATAAAATTAAAATATTTTAAATATGTATTGTTTTTGAATGATATATTACTTAAAATTTATTATAAAATTCTTATTTTAAATACATATAATCGATCGTGTATTGCCTCGGGGCCCATGAAAGGGTTGGCATGGCACCCGAACCTCTTAAAATTAAGTGGTTTCCGCTAGCGTTTGCGGTTGGATAAATAAATATAAAAATATTTTCTAAAAATACTTTAAAATTTGAAACTAAATTTTAAAATTGAAATATTTTAAGTATATATATATATATATATATATATATATATATATACATATTGTTGTAATTTAAAATTCACTAACAATAGCATTCTTTATATTGTAAAAAATTTAAACCGATAATATTCACTATAAAATTTTAACCTTAATATATAAACACACACATATATATATATACATACATATATAAACGAAACAACAGATTCTTTTAAAAATTAGAATATAAATATACAAAATAACTTTTACTGAAGTTAAAACTTTCATTTAAATTTATAAATAAATAAATGTAATATTGTTATTATTATATTAATAATAATTATATTATCATTATATTTTGTTTTTGCTATTCTTATAACATTATAATGTGTTAATATTAGTAATTTATTATTAAATCACTGCAGTACCTCATAATCAACCATTCATAAATATCCCACAGACGTACCAATTTCTAACCGCTTTATCAGTTGTACAAAACACTTAATAATGTTAGAAACCGCAATCACCCATTGCAACATCCCGCAACCGCTCCTGCAACTGCAACCGCACCCACGATTTTTCAGTTCGCTTGTATTAAGCCTTTTTGTAAACTACAAATACCAAATTTTAAACTTTGATATTTTATGCTAATATCTTGAGATATTTTTTGATAATATTTATAAACTGTATACAATCAAAATAATTAAGTAATTATGTTTATTGTTATGTATGGCTATCATTTGTCAAGAATAATGAGAGTGCTTATTTATTTGCCAGATTTCACATTAAAAAGTTTATTTGTTATTATTAATTTTTGTTAACACAAAATGTCGTAATATCTTAGATTCTTAACACCTCTATACTCATAATATCTTAGATTATTTATATGATTAAATGCATAATAAAGTTTCAATAGTACATGTTACATTTTCTATCTAATAATCATATATTTGAAAATCCACAAAGAAAAAAAATTCTCTAAAATTGGATGAACATATATTTGAAAATCCACAAACTTATTTGAAAAATTTGATTTTTCAGTTCGCTTGTATTAAGCCTTTTTGTAAACTACAAATACCAATTTTAGAGAATTTTTTTTCTTTGAAGGGTAAACAAGTTTTACAAAGCAATGATTTGCTCAATGAAGCAGAGTGAAATATAGAGTAAAAGACCCAATAATATATACAAAACAAAGAAGAAGAAAAAGGTGGAAGAAGAAGCTAATTTTTGATTCGGATGCTCCTACATATGTTGGGATTGATACCTGAAACTTCTCCATATGAACCCAAAAGATTCTTGGTTTCTCTTACTTTCCCTCCACGCCTCTTAACTTTGTTGTGTACATGTCCTGCAAACAAAACTAAGGTCCCAGAAACATCTTAGCTGAGGCAAATAAGCTAACTATTGACAAACTAGCAATCCAAGCGAGTTTATCCTGTTTTTCTTTCTTGTCCTTATTGCGATGTCGAGTCAATACTCTGTTACTCAAATTCTAGGTTTAGGTCAAGATAAAAAAAAAAACAGAAAGGTTTAGAGACAGGTGCACGGTTAGAGAAACAAAAGATCTTGTTGTATGTGTTTGGAAACATTCTAACCTCATTTGAAATCAAACGTTTACCATCCACTCTTTCTTGTATTGACAAGGTCAGTGATGGTTCCCTAAAACAACACAAAATATGGCAATGAGATGGACACATCACATGTAACGGTCTGCAAAAGGTTAGAGTAGTGTATAATCACACCTTGAATAGATTTCTGCTTTGGTAGCTCGTTTAGCTTGTTTGTAAAACTCATCTTCTGATGCAAATACCTCAGTTTCATTCTGGCCATCTTCCTCTGACTTCACACCAGCTCCAACCAAAACTTTGAACTCAATTTCTATGTCGTTCTCCAGTATCATCACTTTTCGGTGAATCATCATCATCATCTCGAGAAACAGTCTTCCAAAACGACAAAGGTAAAAAGGTTTAACAAACTTTGGAAAGACATTCCTAAGTATCACATCTGCTATATGTTAACTTGCTTTCGTTTGGTGGACACAAGCTTGGTGAGCTTACCAGCTGGTACATCACGTGTGCTATTGTCTGCATCATCCACATAATCATGAGATGTCTCAAGCTTCCTGGTAACAAAACGCTTGAACAAAACGATGTCTGGATATATGAAGATAAAGTCATAGCTCACAAAACGCTGGTAAAACAACTCGAGCAGCGACTGCTCCTATATCCAACGCTTACGC